AATTCTTGTACTATTTCACATTCTTCTAACAAAACTATACATAGCATAATCGAATCTTCATATAGATATGCATATAGAGAATTATCACATTTTCCCCTTTCCATTACCGACTGCACTTCTTGCAATACATATTTAAAAACACAAAATGAGGGTTAGATCGAAAGGTTTTGTGAGATCCCCCTTTTTTTATGTCATTGCAGGGTGAAAATCACCAAAACTTTATGTAAAACAACGTTTCATATATATAACAATATGAACAAGTAAGAACATAATTGCCAGTATCTTTCCACTTTTCAAGCCAAACTCTCAGCTTTCAGTTAACATATCTAAAACCCAAACAGGTTTATCATAATGCCACTTTTAAACCTTTTCAATTAACACAAGGTTTATTTAAAACTTCAGGCCAAACATGTTATTTCTTTCTCAATAACATCCAGACTATGATTTCCAATAAGAACTCTGATTCTAAATCCTTAAATCACAAAGAAATAAAGATTCCAAATCACAATAACCTTAAAGAATTTAATAGTAAGAGTTATATTATACATCACACATACAAATGTCACCCTTATATCCAAAGGTACACCTCTTCTTGATGTGTCACCCTTATCACATGGTACACCTCTCCTTGATATGTCACCCTCATTTTCTCATCAAAACTTTTTACAAAACAATTCCAATTAGAACAAATCGCAGCCATAAATGTTCTAATGGATTATCATCAGTTCAGAATCATTTTTATCAAAATTTCCGTTCTTTATACAAGATTATTAAAAATGACAATTTGTATAAATAATACATAAGTCAATGTACAAATCCGGTCAACACAAACTTGGCCGGACTTCATCTCCGGTCAAGCTTTGGCCGGTTAACCAATCAGGACAACACTTATTTAAGTTGTCCGATTTACTAATCCGGATAAGACAAGTCTCTCTTGTCCGATTTATTAATCCGGACAGCTTCCACAGCCTTGTCCGATTTATATATAAACCGATCACCCTTTAAGCGTATTCCTACTTCTCCGTTAAAAGCACTTAATAGAAATTCAAAGTTCAAAAATCGCCCAACACATAAACCGGCTAACATATTAATCATATTACCCTTAAACCAGATGAGACTACGTCCGGTTTATATCTAAATCGATCAACCCTTGTCCGGTTTATTCTAGTCCGGTCAACACTCATCCGATTTGTTCTTTAACCCAGGTGAAAGATTAGTTCAACAATTATACATTTTCAGAAATTATAAGACATATAAACCACTCACCTTTACTTTGAAAAGCAACTTCTTGAAAAATCAATTTGAACTTCAGTCAAGAAACAATCCAGCCAATCCTTCTTTCTCTTAAATCGCACACTATCTTTGAAAATAGCAAGAAGAGTGCAAATGGAAGCTTAGCCTTCCTTTTATACTTTTCCCAAAATAGGAAGGCGGCTAAACCGCCCTTACCATGCATGCATGCATACACCTTATGCATGATATTCATTCCATGCATATTATCATATATATACATGTATAATCATGCACATAAATAATTATGCACACACACATATACATAATCTCATACATGCATCCATATTATGCACATAATTTCACATACTAGCATGATCAAATATACCAATTTATCATGCTATCACGTAATTTATTTAACAGATAATCACGTATTAATTACCTCGAGTGATAACCAGGATCCGGTTATCACAAATGATAAGTTAACAAAGTTGAGCATTCTAACTGAGAATGAATCAGTAAACACTAAGGAACATGAGCGTTGAACAATGTAAACCACAAAATGCTAAGGTTTAAAAATGTTATCATCAAAGCATTAAGGATGATCAAAAACGGAGATGGAAGACTTTTACCCAATAGGGTTTTCCAAAGAGTTAAGCATCCATTGAACCAAAAAAATTTATGTCTTCTTCTACTACTCTTTCATCAGTGCTATCTATTGCTCATCTATGTAAGCTTTTTGGTGGCCATTTTGAGTAGAAAAATCCTTGTACAAAGATATGGATTATCTTTACTTGATTTTGCCGTTTAGCTTGTGTCTTCATCTTCTGTGGTCTTCCTACCTCCATCTTGTCTCAAATACTTGATCTTCAATAATATCATAATGCAGGTGACTGAAATGAGCAAAAGAATCCATGTAAAAATGATATTTTTCAGTTTTTCTCGGATTTACTTCACCCACCATAGTAGCGACATAGTGGCCACATTCCACAATTTAGCATTTAACCCAAAAATGATGCGTATAATCATTAAAACACAAACTTTTATCCTTAACAGCTCTAAATGAAAATAAATTGATAGAAAGGAGAGTCACGAACACATAAAGAGAAAACATGTACTAAAAGGGAAGAAAAACACATACATAGGGGTGTTCATCTAAATCACACAAAATGCTCACACTGCACCGCACCGAAAGCACAGTTTAGAACTTCTATGGTGCGGTTTGCATTTTAATCAAATCACACTATGCAGTGTGTTTTGCGGTTTTGATTTATCAAACTGCAATCCTAATCGCACCTCACTGCACATTATGTATGTATGTATGTATGTATGTACGTATGTATGTATGTACGTATGTATGTACGTACGTATGTATGTATGTATGTATGTATGTATGTATATTTTTAATTTTATCTATAACATATATAGGATAATTTCTAAATTTTTGTAATAATTTTAATCAATTCTCTGTGTTATCCATTAATAAGTCTAAAGTTTTGGACTTTAATCAACATTCACGACATGATTTCACCATATTTTTCAATTTTGTGTTGATCAAAGCCTTCTACCTTCTGCCTTAATTTACTTTCAAGTCTCAACGATTTAGTTTTAAGTTAATCTTTTAGTTGTTAGACTACATCTAATTTACGTAATATGTGTATTTGGAAATTGAACATCTTGTAACTTTATATTTTTTTTGGACTACGGTCATTTTATTGTTGATTTTATAAATTAGATTGTAGGCGTAAAAGTGTGTCAGGTACAAGCCCGTTCCTGACATTTTATAGGGCATGTACGAGTAAAAAAGGGCTCTCGAAAAGTATGAACTTTGTTTCAATATATCGTTTTTATCATCATAAATAAATTGATGATAGAGAATATTCAAGGGACGGCCCTGTCAAGTACAAATTGCAAAAATCGTACCGCGAATTTTGTTTTGCGATTTAAGATACATACAGTGCGGTTTGCAGTTTGGGAAAATGCTCAAATTATATATACGGTACGGTTTCAAATCGCACCTGAACAACCTTAACAAATGATGTACAATAACATTAATTAGAATGGGACTGATCAACTTTCTACAATATTTAGATTTCCTCACGAATATAAGTATATCTATATCTATCTCTACACTATGTAATATTTAGGTTAATGTATGTTTTACAACCTTTTTAAGATTATTGAAACATTTTTCTCGAGTTAGCCAACGGAGAGAGTTGTCGATGATTCATCTATGAAAGTCTGTCATAGAGAATATAGTGGGTAAAACTATCACCGACGCCCAAAAGAACTGAAGGATTTCCAACGACTACCATATAGACGGATTTCTGATACCGTCAGAAATCTGTCGGCCACCTTTACTGATGGATTTCCAAGGGATTTTCATCAACAGATTGCCGAGGCCTATCACCAATGGTTTTCTGGCGGTGCTCCGTTAGTAATTCTAAGTTTCTAAAAATAATTTAAGATACAGTATTTCCTGTAAAAAAACTACTAAACATTATTGTTTTCATTTAATAATTTAAACAACAGTATTCACCGACGGATCATCAACGAACTACCGAATAAATGATTAAAAAATAAAAATAATTAGTAATTCATTGGGACCCGTCAGTAATCGTTAGTATCACTGACGAATTACCGACAGATCAACACTTCCTCGGAAAAAAATAATCTTAGTCGGCCAATTGTCGGTGACCGTTCGGAAATCAGCGACGGAACATTGTTGCCGGTAATTTGGTCGTTGATACTAGCTTTCTAGTAGTGGTTAGCTTTTTAAAAAGGATATTTCAACTAGTTTTTCAATAAACTCGAGGGTTTTTTAGATTTTTTTCCCCTAATTATGGTCTTCTATATTTTTTTTCCAATTAATTTTTGAAAATGTTCTTTTGTTTATCAGTTAGTTTTATAAAATCTGATTAATTTATAAATATAATCTATCTTCCTTTTATAACCTATTTTGGTTTGCTCATATGAAACTACAAAAATCTGATTGTTTGAGGTTTTAAATCTTTGCATTCTTAATTTTTGTAACATAACAACTTGCAGATTATGGGTCCTATTTTATGCTGTGTTACTTGAAAGCATGTGTAGGATGGAACACTTATGAATTTGATTACAAGACTATCTTCAAGAGAATCTTTTAAAGTCTTGTCTACAAAATTAGAGATGCATAAAAAAGTCCCGATCCGATACTTGACACGAAAGCCCAGGCCTCGTAAGGCTAAGCCTACGCCTGGCTTTAAGACCCGATCATATCATCTTTTCTTTCAAGACCAGATTAAAGTTCGATCCGGTAAGAGCAAAGGTAATGACCGAGAGTCTTACCCGGTAAGTGAGGACGACAACTCTTACCATGGTTAGCGCTTACCAGGTAAATGATTGCATACGATATCGTTTTGATGGAATAAAATCTTACACGGTAAGTGATAGTATTAAGTTTTGCCGGTAAGCAATTACCGGGGTAAGCTTTTGGTAAATGGCCACTAAGACTATTGTTGGTCAATATAGTGAAAACATAGCTTCAATTTATTAGAGGAAATATGGTTGGGACTACTGATGTCAGTACGAAAAGAAAACGCTTAATGGAGCCAACCTCGTTCTTGATAGTAAAACTAAAACAAAACATCAAAGTATGTGGAGTCTGGAGGGTAAGACGTATACAGAAATCTACTTTACATAGTAGTGAATGTACTATGAAACCTCTTAAATGTGAAAAGTGTTCAAAAGAAGGGAAAACATACAAGAACAAAATGCATTTCATTTTTTATGCAAAATTTAACCTTTTGTTTATGCATTTTAACAAGTACATAACATGATGTTGTACGTACACAAGAAAACAACTACAAAAGAAGGAAAAAAAAGGACTCATCAATTTGAACTTCAAGTGAACATGAACCTAAATCACATACATTTACATGTTTCAATTCGTACACAGAATATCTCACTCGAAAGTGAGGTCTGAATGTGCTGATGAACCAACCAAACTAAACATACTCTGTATATACCACATGGAAGCATCTGGATGGGTTGGCAAACCAAAACCAGTATATCTCACTTGAATGTTGGGTCTGGATGGGTTGACGATGATGATGAAAACATATTACAAAACCATGACGACTGGCCTTCGTGTCATCACAAATTATAGACAGAACGGGACAAGGAATGGTAAGGATTTTGCTGTAAATTGTTGGAAACGATACCTTCTAATGGAAATGAAGATGTATACGTGAATTTGTTTCTGGTCGATCTATGTATGTATGTATATATGTATATTTCGTGTATGTCCAAGTCCAACAACAAGTATGATCTAACAATCTTTGATGCATCCATTTCCTGCAAATTCAAATTAACAACCAAAAACCTCATGTAAATCACTAATAATCAAGTTGAGAGATTTTTATTCAAAAAAGTACAAGACTTGGATCCTGCATAATAGCACACTTTTTACAATTATGTACTCAATCAAAAAATAGACATGTACTTTCACAATCATATCAAGTTCATCGGTTATATCTGACAAGAATCATCAATAACAGTTGGGACAAATAATACTCTCTTCATCAAAAAAAAGTATCCGCTTGTTCTTTTGTCCCAGATTGATCATTTATAATTAAAACTGACTGTAGGAATATATGTATATACCATTGATAGATTTATTTTTCTGCAAATATAAAACCAAACCAAACGTACTCGGTATATCCACTAAACGAAGGGTATCATCAATTTTGCAAAAAGAGTAGGGGTCTTTTGAGTGATGTTATATCCTTCCTTCTAGCAAAAAATTTCACCTGTTCAGATTTTTGTAGGTGTTACAGGTTTTGTCCAGTGCACTTTACGAAAATTGGTAGGAGAATATATCATAAAACAAACCAATGGACCAGTAAATCCCATGCAAAGATAGGGTTTGGGGTTAGAATATACGCAGACCTTGCCTCTACCCCAAAAGGTAGAGTGGTTGTTTCCATAAAAACCCCCGCTCGTAAAAGGAGACAAACAAACAAGCGACGGATACAGTAAAGAAAAAATGCATTAGAGACGATTGAAAAAAAAAAGGAAAAGGTTAAACAAACAAGGAAACATAGAAGAATACTACTATATGAACTAATTGTACACACTGAAAAATGTGTTTTTACAACATAAACATTAAATATGTGAGTTGAAATTTTGTGCAACTGTTACCAAATGCCTATTACTTTCATTTATATTTTCTAGACAGTAGATCTAAATCATCTAACTCAGTAAATTAAGTACTAGTTGTTTCTTGATTGGTTGAAATATACACATCTTGTTAGCAACGAGTCTTAGACCTACAAGCCATTGGTTCAAGAGATTCAGTGGGTAAGAGTTGAACTAAAGATAACAACGATATTACTTGTGATATACATATACATGTAACGTTTTAAGAAGCGGAATCGTAACTCGAGGCGTTTTCCTTCCACGCCCTGAGGCGGGGTGCAAGCCTCTAGGCATAAAACAAATAAAATTCATAAATATTAGTAGTAAGCAAAACATAATTCCATAAATTGAAACGTCATAGATTCATAAAAAACTAGTTATACATCTAAAAACATATCAATCTACAACTTATAGTTCCCCATAGCATGATCAAGTTGTATAGCTCCACAATCATATCCATAATCACTATCACTTTCATCTTCCAAATCCACAGAAAACAGAAAAATAATACAGAAAACTGAAAATAATATAGAAAATAGAAAACAGAAAATAAAAATAATACAGAAAAACAGAAAACATACAAAAAAATATACATAACACATTATACATATAGAAAATACATTATACATTATTTATGATATAAAACATATATACTTGACTGAAATATATATAATATAATATAACACATTATACATAAACTAAAAATATGGACACAAACTAAAAAGAACTTACTCTTCGGGTTGGCCTTTGAGATGATATCTTCTTGAGAGAGGAAAAAGTAAGAAATGGAGAAGAAAAAAATGCTGTTTGGAGAGGCATGCGCCTCAGAAACGCCTCACGCCTCAATGCACCGCCTCACCATTTGAGGCTTAAGCCTCGTCCAGGGACCATGAGGCGCCGCCTCATGAGCAGTTTTGGACCGCCTTGCCTCGAGGAACGCCCCGAGGCGTACACCTCAAACGATTTTGAAAACCATGTATACATATACATACACCACAAATTCATCGAGAACCCAGGGAACCAACTATTCCTGATGAATAACACTTTATATTACCCAATTTTGTAAAATTTCCTTTGAGACATGTAACTATAACATGGCACTTCTCCAATTGGAATAACAAGAAACCCCGTTATCTTTTATATCATCATTTGGTTAAAGATTCTTTCCTTTCCTATACACATGGAACTAGTTTCAACATCAATGAATTTATTTTCTTAGTAGTTTGAGTCATCAAGCGTATAATTTTCACAAATCTTCATCTTCAAATTCAACTAAAAGAACCTTAAGTTTTTTAGAGTGGTGGTTGTATTTCATCATCATCCACCAAGAAAGTCATCCAAGGGGAGAGAGAGGGAGAGCAATATGTTGTGTATTGAGAATGTGTGTGTAAGGAGGGAAAGAGCTGCAAAAAATTCATCAAATGGATCATTATATTCACTAGTTCTATGTGGTATTTTGACCAAAATATGTTTTCTAATCAGGGAAGCATATATCACTTGGAAAGAAGTATATTTTCTTTTTAAACATCGAAAGAGGGTACTATAGCCATCTGGAAAGTAATGATTCAATATATAGTTCAAGGTGCGGAATCAGATCTCGAGGCGTTCTCCTTCGGCGAGGCAAGGGCCGTGAGGCGTATGCCTCGGGGCAGTCCGAGGCAAGGCAGATGTATATATATACATACAGGATCAGGTTCCAGTGAGAAGGGCAGTTATGGTGAGAAGCGTAAGAAGAGATCACTAACCTTGGATCGATCCTAATTGAATGTCAACATTAATGAAGTGCACTGAGATGCACCAAATCAATTCCCTTCTCAAGCACCATTCATGGGTGGGCATGAGATTAAAAGTGATCAAGGTTCAGATCTCTTCTTACGCTTCTCACCTCAACTCTTTTTCTCACACGATCTTTCGTCTATATATATACACTGTGTATAATACAATATATACTAAATAGTGGTAGACTGGGGAAGAAATAATATTAATATATATACGCACACACAAGAATGCTCTTCAAAGTGGGAAATAAAATATATATGTGTGATGCTCCTCAAATTGGGAGAACGGAGAAGACGTTGGAGAAATGAAAACTACAACTACAAGAGCAAGAGAGTAGGAGAAGGACGAGCAAGAAAATGGGCTATTTTATAAAAAGAAAAATCAAAAAACGAATTTTTAAACCCTAATTTCTAATCCCCGCCTCAGGTGCCTCAAAGCCCGGGTCAGTGGCTTGAGGCGTACGACTCAACTATCCCAAGAGAGGCGCCACCTCAGACACAATTTTCTGGCGCCTCACCTCAAGGCATGCCTCGAGCGCTTTTTAGAACCATGGTATGGTTGTGTGTACGCATAGAATGTTCTTTAAGCCGCATGTCAAATAGACTGTAAGATTAGTAGGAAGGAAAGGAGGTCCCCATGACATTGTGTACTGAAGAGCTCCCCCTCTCTCTATATATATATACACACAAACACACACACTCACTAGAACACGCACATATGCCCGAGATAATAGCATTTGAAGTATGAAAATGATGAATAATGTTTGAAACAGAGGCTCTCCCATGGCCCAACAAGCTTTGTGTGTAGGGAGGTTCTTTACAACTTCTGGCGTATATATAGACTGGTTATGTTGTGATGTGTTATATGTGTGCTTTCCTGTGCTCTAAAATTTAAAAGCAACCTTAGAGATCACCAAGAAAGTGCTGCAAAATCATAGAGCACACAAAAATAAGCATTCTTCATCACTAGCAAGTATGTGCATGTTTTTCAAATGTGCAAGTAAACTTTCAAGGGACATAGAAGGGCTTACCGGTCATTGAGGAATCTGAACAACAATGGAAGCAATCAAGTATAGACATGCAGAAATTGCTGCTCCAGCAAGAAAATTACAAAGAAGTTGTCGGTCGTTTTTAGTGGGTATAAAAACTGACTTTAGTGTGTTTGTTAGTTCAAAGAGCCGGCAGGATATCTGCATAAGAAGAAGAAACGTAACAGATATAAGAAACTAGATTTACCACATTTCATCAAATAAGAAGGGTGTATACAGATTTTGCTCACCAAAACATAAACTGCAGTTGTAAGCATGAAATTCAGCAAAGGATAGTCTGGGATAAAAGAGAGAAGCCACTTTGGCTGTCCATTGGGGATATCTGATCTGCACCATTCACGTTGATTAGAACTCAGCCATTGCAGTTTTACCTAGTATTAACTCGAGTTCTTCAAATGATTTAATCTCTAGTATCCTTTCATTGCAACAAACAGAGCAAAATGTACTAGCTTCCTCTGTCCCACAAGAATAGCAAGATTTTCTTTTTTGGGATGTCCCGCAAGAATCGCACCAATTTCCTTTCAGGGATGGTCCATAAGAATTGCAGCATTTCCCATTTTGGGGAACACTTTTTAGTTCATATACCAATTTACCTCCTTTGTTATATATAAGAAAGTAGTAAAGTGACCTTGGCCCACAAGATTTTTTTTCCTATAGAATATTGTGAAAATTAAACAATAATCACAGTATCACACAGTACTTGGCATAAAGGGCCAAATGTTGCAATTCGTATGGATGGCAGGGGTAAGAAGTAAGAACAATTACAAAAACAAGAGGGCTATGAATGCAAAAATAGCCTAGTGGATGAAGATCAAGAAACCATAACAAAAGTACTGGTAAGAATAAGAGAAAAGAGTTATGCTCACCTTAGCCAGATGTGGAACTGGGAAATGTATGTCTCCAAAGTGATCTTTCCGAGCCACCTATTATCACATAGAAAATTTTACAGGTTGAGACAAATCTGTAGTAAGTAGAGCATATAATGCACACAACTGTATGTTCATAATCCCGAGCATTAAAAAGGTGTTAGCTAGCAGGAGCTTACGCGAAGAGGGTTAATGAGTAATTCCTAAGATGTTGAGTGAAATTCCGCAAGCATATATACACACTGCAAACACAAGAAAACTGTGTTATAAGATGGAGCACGCAGAATACTATGGATCTTACACTAATTAAATGTATGTAACAATAGAACAAGAAATCGACTACATACGTTATAGGTATCCATGATGTGTAGGGATGATATTTGTTGTATGTAACCTTGTCTAACTTGTATATATATTCATACCACATATATCCAGCCTGAAAAGAAGCTAATATAAGCCCACAAAAACTTAAACAGGAAAAAGAATGTACATGTGAAAAGAGGAAAAAAGAAAGAAGCTTAAGATTCATACTGACCAGGACAGATACTGAAACGATGGTTGCTTTTACGGAATGTCTCCGCTTACTATCAGACTCTTCAAGTTTTTCTAACCACTTTTCAACCTAAGACAACAGAATACAACATAATATAGTTTTAGCAATAGCATGTTACTACTAACTAGCATGTGGATCTTGAGAGATATCAAACTTTCAAAAGCTTACATTAGGATGAAGATATGCATATATCATTCCAATGATCCATATATAGCGATCAAGCCCAGATCTGAAATGCCACTCATGCAATCGAGGGAGATCTGGTTTGGCAGGATCACTGTACCCTGCAAAAGCAAGAATTTACGTTTAAGAAACTTGTGGTTAAACTAAAATTATATTGTAATAAAAGTGAACAAAACTGAAGTCGACAGCTTCTTTTTACTTGCTGCAACTGTATTCAACATGCTACAGATTTCAATTTGAAAACCTTATGATATTCAAAGATTGATTGGATATTACATTGCACAAAAGAAATATCTCAATAAAAAATTATGAGAGTATGTGCAGTTTATTCAATAAGAGGAGAGGAAAAGCTATCCCTTGAATAAAGTTTTTAATGAGCCAGAATCGAAATATAGAGCTTTTAGGATTAAATACATGGTCCCACCACTATGCAGTTAATCATTATGCTGCCTATTGGCATACTATATTATTAGCATGTACTCATTAATGGACTAAACTAACCTAATAAGAACGCCAATGGACTCCAAATGAATTCAAAAATTCCAGGAATCTCCCAAACCAAGATAACCACAAGAAAGCATGCAAGGATCTTCATAATCATCACTGATCTTATTTCATTATACTTGCTGCCAATTGCAAGTGCTCCATACACCATAAGAGTAAAAAGCGTGTGCATTGGACAGATGTAGTAGAGCATATAATCATTGTCAAGAACGATACAACAAAAAGCCACAAAGAAGTTTAGCCTCCACATCATCTGCAATGAAAAATAAGAATATTAGGTGCAACTATAATATAAATCAAACTGTAAAAGTAAATAATAAAAAATAGCATGAAAAAGTTTTCATATATGCTAACGGAACGGCTCTAACTTCTAAGTAGCAAATGATATTAACATAAAAGGAGTGTTGAAACTAGAATATAGATCCCACAGATATGGACAGGTATTCATAAAGAGCCATATAACTTCCAACTTTAACTATCATTATTTTTTACAGTTACAACCTAAATTTCATAATTCCATTTGGAAGTATATCTTGGAACTCTGGTAAATTGCCTTGTTGTGCTTCATTTTCATGTAGATAGCTTGCATGAAGTCTCAAGCAGCCATGCTTCACTTCATTTTGACAAGTTTTAGCTATATTGTTGCTTTATCTTTCTTCTCTTTCTATTTTTGTCATTTACCTTTTATACTCCAATTTCTAATTTTATGTATTATCCATGCTTTGTAATATAGATTCAATAAAAGGAATGACCTTTTCATGAGAGTAAGGGGACACTTTGATTGGTAGAACAGATTTCTCATCACCAAACATACCGACTAGAATTTTGATGCTTATCCGATAAGGAATGTATGAATCGAATCTTTTTAATGATTATGTCCGAACGCCACTTCAAAATGGAATTCAAAGGGGTCAAAAAGGAAAGGATACTCTGAATCATAGAACTCCAATGAAATATAGGATCAACCAACATTTATCAAATTTGAAAAAGAGTCAGAAGAGATGGTTGATCCTCTCTTTTTTCTCGAACGAGAGATTCTTGAATCGGGATCCTGATGCATATAAATATAAATGGTCCACTGGAGCAAGAATTTCCAGGAACATTTTGAACATTTCATTTCTGAGCAGAAGATCCATTTTCAAGATACCGATATTATTACCAACAGCCACAATAGAAAGTCACAATTTTTAAAGGGTTACATAAAAACCAGCAAGATAAGTAGTAAGAATTAACCTGAGCGAAGCGTGCAATACTGAAATCCTTGCGGATGTAGTAGTACGAGAAGTTTCCAAAACCAGTCATCCAGACATATGCAGCAATAAACACACGAATAGCATTATATATCTCCGTAGCAGCAAAGTAATGATACATCAAAAAGAGAACCTGCCCAAACAAGAAACAAAAAAAGCAGTTTCAAGATAACAGCCATTTTGTACTAGTAGAAAATTGACGTGTCACCTTGTGTAGGCAATAAGTAAAGTTGAACTCAGAAATGTAGGGGAATTAATTCTAATATCCACAAATATGAATTCAGAGTAAAGATATTGTGAAAACTCTTGCCTGCATCCATCCTTTCCACTCCTCTGTTTGATGTCGATTGAGGTAAAGTATCGATTTTCCAGAGAATGCCGACTTGTCAGTATGTTTCTTCAGGGAAGTCATTGCTGAAACTATGATAAGGAGCACGTACAGGAACAGGAAAAGATCGCGATTGTAGCTCTGTTCAAGAAAAAATGTATCAACTAAAATGCACCAATAAGCATAAAAATAGTTTGTTTTCAGTTACCCAAGTGACACTTTAGGTTTCAAAGATAAACCAATTGTGTTACTTGTGGAAGGAGAAAAGCAGAACAACTGTCCATCCTCCAAAAATCAAGGTAAACACATAAATGAATTCACCATGAATCGCACAGTACAAGCAAAGACCTGTTGTCGTAAGGTGAGAAAGAGAGAGGGAAGCAACATGGAAACACATGCAAGGGGAGAGGGGGGGGTCTGAGATGACCAGACATCTGGAAGTTATCACAACAATTAGCTCATGCTCTAAGTGAAAAGCCTGTACATAGAAGATCTGACAAGAGCTGACCACTTATTAGAGCCAGGGGTGGAAGGCAGTAGGCAGGCCGGTGCCCCGCATCCCCCAGCCCAATCCAAGAAAAAACTGTTTTATGAGTCCACAAATTCTATAATACCCACTTTCATTGAATCCACACAAATCAACTGCAGCTCTCCCATTTCCTAAGTTTCCAAAATTTACAAAACAGGCCTTCTATTTTATTTAGATTTCAAGTTTACACTCTTGCCTTATTCTTTAATTTGGTACCCAAGTGCTAGATCCTAGATATATTTATGTGTAAAGCACCTATGTTGGTCAGTCGGCTTGCTCACTTGAGTTCATGAAAACTTTAACTTGCTGATAATTGTATTCATCAGATGCAGTTTAGAAATAGTATTTTGAAACCCCTATAAAATTTTCAATATAGATTTTTAAAATTTTCTGCAAAACAAACTAATCAATATTGATTTTTGCAAAGCTCATGTGTTAAGAAAAAATTTGTTCATTTCTTTTCCAAATCATGAGACTTTATTAAGTTGTTTGCATACAATATTTATCGTTGTTATTTTACTACACAGCACGACCTCAGATGACCGGACCCCCATCATAATTCCTAGCTCCGCCCATGATTATAGAAGCTGCTTTTGATAAAAACCTAATCCTACCATGAATACAAGAATCATTGCACCTAAAATAGCAAAAGAGGATATTTCAGCAATCACTCTTTTTTTGAGGCACTGCCAATCTCAACATTTTTTTATAAAGCTATAAACAAGCGTTTTAGTGTGATGATTCCCAAATTTTTATTTCAAGACGCCTGCCATAAATTACCAGACCAAACACTTAACTCACAACAGGTTGAGAATACAATCTTAGTACTATAAAAAATCAATCTAGCAAGCAAAAAGTAAAACATGAGGTAAGAGAACCTTGGTAGATTCTGAAATCAAGCTGGTGCGGTCAGATATGTAGAAATAGAACAAAATTCCTCCAAATTCTGACCTGCGTAGGGTTGTGTAGATGTAATTGTTGCATCAGTTTAAAATAGAAAGAAGCATCAATATAAATCTATCACCAGCAAAGTCACGACTTACATTGCTCTCAGGGTTGCTCGATTCTCAAGCAAAAAACAATCCTCCATTGTCACAAATCTACAAATAACTCGGTGCAGAATGTAAGGAGGGTAGTGGAACAATGAAATATGGAAACAAGAAAAGGAAATCCAGCAGATTTCCTAACCTAATTAAGTTAGCTTTAATGGAAGTAGCAGGCTGCTTCATTGATGCCACTTTTGTGAGGCCTCCTTCCAGCAAAACAGCACGGTCATCTTCCTCCTTTGTTTTGGTTTCCAATTCGACCAAATTGTTGTCCGAGTGACTGTTTCCAGAAAACACATGTAAGTGAGTTTTAGAAGACACTATAACACTCAGCAAGTCTTTTCAGATGTTCTAACTTTTCCTTGGTTTCTGTTTTTCTGGGCAACACTCTCTTTCTTCCAAAACTAAAAAAATAGTTAACAAGTCAGGGTCTTCATGGAAACAGCCTCTGTACCCCTAGGGATAGAGGTATGGTCTGCATACATCATACCCTCCCCATACCCTAACTCCTACCACTTCTCAAATTTGAGACTAGATATGAATCATTTGAAATTTGACAAGCAAAAAGCATATAAGTTCTAAGAATGAGTAAATCATGACCACTACCAATGTTAACACTAAAGTTATCATTTCTTTTCCTTTACTTAGGGATGGTGTAATCATGAGAATAGAGAATGTGTACGAGACGATGTAATTAGGAGAAGAGGAAGCGTGTATTGCATCACAAGTTTCTTTCTACTTTATAGGAATTATGGTGATTTTGTTGGTAAAGTTGATGGTAGACATAGATTTGCCCTTCTAATTGATCTGAAAACAGAGAAAAACAAAACGGAACTAGTAGCAGGTCATCAAAGCAGACCTCCTCCATCTCAAGTATGTAGAATAAGTTACATGTACATATTTTTAACTGATGTGGAGCAGTAGATAACATCAGATATTGTGGCAATTGTGTATAGCTTAAACAACATATGGCAGGTAATCAGACCACATAGCAACAAAAGTCAGACTCAAAAAGATCCTAAGAACAAAGATCAATTGATTGTAATTGATTAGCTGGAGGCTGGAGCACTCTCCGTGTAACATTTTAATTTCCACTCATTCAAACAGCCCTAAGACACACAACTTATAATTCAAAGATGTTGTGACAACTGAAAGATAATCCATCCCACCCAACCAACTGCATACTCTCAGGCACCAAAGGAAAGCCTATTCGCAGAGCACATAGAGAGGAGATCTATGAAGGTGCATAAATTAATAAGCTTACACTTTAGATGCAGATGAAGATTTTTTATATTCCAACCATTCAGAATATATCCAAGCCACAAAAATAGGAATGATTGCAAGCAAAAAGGACACCTGCAATAACATTAATAACAATAAAGGCCTTAGTACATATCATGTGGAAGTCTGAGACACAATCCGAATACAAGTCACTGAAGATAAAGTCACACAAACTGTAGAACAAGAAATACAGACTTACACAGAAAACATGGAAAATACATACGTGGACCGACATGGCAACAAAATATATTTTCTGTACGTATATTGATTAAACAAATTACACATAACACCAACTCTTTAAACTTAAAAGGTCTCTTCTTTCCTTTTCACCTTTTTATGTTTCCATCTAACAACAATATTATGATATATTGATATGGTTTAAGTTTTGCAAGAAAACCCTTCCATTGAAATATTCAATATACTAAAAATACTTAAACTTTAGTTGTTTTTAGCATGTTTCCTATAACAGTACAACATATTATGGTCCATGCCATGGGCAATGAATTTGTATTAATGTGACTACCGAAGGGAACCAATGGGTTTACTTTCTGCTAAATGATTTCATAGGTACAAAATGAAGATTATGCTAATAACTACAACAGAATAAATAATCTTAAATCTGAAAGGAAAATGTCAAAATCAGCTATCACACCAACTATCTTCAATGTTGAGCGATTATCAAATACTTCACAAGTTCAGAAGATAATTGAAGATAAGTGCATTCTCTGAGTAGAAGTGAACGCATCCCAGATACAGTAAACTAGCCAACTCATCTTCAGATAATGACCGATCATACATTCGAATGCATTTATGCATTACCTAACCTATTATATCGAGTACAAGCGCACACAAGGCTACATTAGATCTTACACTTAATGAACTTAGTCACTTTAAGTTCAAAAAGTGATCTGCAGCTCAAGAAAAATAAACCAAATCCCAATAACTACACACCGACGGATGCCAAATTAGACTCATCACTGAAAGAGTCTCAACACAAGTAGTAGCAGTTTTTATATTTACCTGCCCAGCTGTTAAAGGTCCAGAAACAACCATTTTCGTTGCAGAATTGAGAAATCGACAATGCCAGAAGAACAGAGGCACTAAGAAACTCGAATTGAAATCAAATCACGATACACATAACCCAATTTGCGCATCAATGATTCGATGGACCCACAGACACATAGACACACTGGTATAAATCTCTGCAACTGTATGTAGGGGAAATGGTAATGGTAATGTTTATATATGTAAGGTAGAGAAGATAATGAAACCCTAACTACCCTTAGAGAAGAAGGAGAGATCTGAAGCAACAATAATTTAGTGATGGATTGGTTGGGATTGGGGCTGAAGTCGTCGGTTGCTTCAAGAAATGAACATAACAAGACGTCGGAGGAGGTGTCTCCGTCTGTGTACGGAGTCCGGAGTCAAATACTATGTTTTTTTTAATCCGACATTAATGGAGGTTGTAAGAGCTTTGGGTTAAAATACAAATTTTGTAGATTCGGAGTATTTTTTTTTTTTTTTTTTTAGATTTAAGTTTTTATTTGGCGCAGGATGATTAAAAAGTGTTTGGGATTGCTTATAAAAACGGTTTATTAGTTTATTTCGGTGTGATACCGATAATAAGCAATTGAGTGTTTGGATAAACAACTTATACTAGTGCCGCACCGGTAATAAAAAGTTTTTGAAGAAGTTAAAACATTCTAACTTATAATAAGTTGATAAGCACTTTTATAGAAAAGTATAAATTGTTTCAAATAAACAATCTCAAACACCCCTTAATGTAAAATGAAATACGGTTGTTTGATAATTGTTTAGAATGAAATTAGGGTCCTAAATGGTTTAAGGAGGCGTAAAACACAAAATTATTCAAATGGTTCGTTAGAAGACAGACTTTTTTTTATCAAACAAGATTATCTCTTAACGATTTAGAGAAGTTGTCTTTTAATAAAACTATTAATAAATAAACAAATAACCTTTTAATGAATCGATTAAAACTTTATGTTGTTCCACATCTATTATCGTTATTAACTTATCATATTAAACATACGTTTAGTTATTTAATTAAGTGGTTAATTAAATCTTGTTAATGCCATTAAGTAATTAAAATCAATCATATTATTTTTATTTAAATATTATGATTGATTATTATATATTGGTTGTTATAAATAACAATTCAAAACCCATTTAAAAATTTAATATATTTTCAAAGTTAATTTAATTTATTCAATTAACTATTAATTTAATTATAAAGTTATAAATTAAAATTAAGATAAGAATTTTTAAGTTATATTTGTGGGTAATATATTAAGGGACTGTTTACTAAACGTTTACCCAGTAAGTATTATCGGGTAATTTTTTTTACCGGATGACAGGGTCAAAAAATTTACCCGGTAAAAGCAACGGTAAAGATGGAGAGTCTTACTCGGTAAGTGAGGGTGACGACTCTTACCCGAGTAAGTGCTTAGTGGGTAAATTACTGCATATGATACAATTTTGATGTATTACAATCTTACCCGATAAAATAAATTATAATGTTTGCTCCTAACCTTAAGCAATTACCGGATAAACATTTAGGAAAACGACCCCAAAAATTATATTTGGCATGTTAATTGATTTAGATCAATATGATTACAATTTCTTTTTGCCTATAATTTATTTTAGAATTAAATTTGAGCCACTAATTTAAATTAATGTAGTTAACTCATTTCATGGATTATGTTATTTATTTATTTTTCAGCTTATCAATATTTGATTTAATATTGATTTTAATTGCATTTTAGCACACTTGTATTTTTAATTAATTATTCATTTAAAATTGGCAGTATAATGAATATACCTATACAATAATAGCTCTGGGTTCGAATGGCATTTTACCCCTCATCACAACTCATGCGTTGATTCTTCAACATCAGTCGGTTTGGACTTTCACTTAGTTTCACCCAAGCTTTATCATGATAATGGATAGATCAGTACATGCGATTCGATTAAGTTCTACATAATGAGGAATGCTATCTTTTTTTTACCAGAAAAATACGAACTAAAAAATTTGTATCTCGCTTGATTTATCGTGTCCTTCAAGTCGTACGTTGCTTTCTACCATATCGTTTTAAACGAAGTTTTTCCATAACATTCTTATAGTTTGGAACCATTATATTGGTAGTATAACAAATATAACCAATAAATTAAAACAATATCTCATTTAACCCATCATAGAATAATTATTTGATTACTTAATTATTTTCTTTAAATATTCATTAAGTTTCTTAAATTGTTTATTTTTTACATATATTTAAACGTTTATGGGTACTAGAAGGGTATTTGCACAATGCAACGAGATAAATCACCATTTAATATTTAGTTTTTATTCTTTGTCTCTACCGATATAATACGATTTTATTTGGTTTTGAGAAAGCGATAATGTTTTTATTTTTAAATGAAATATAAATTTGAAAATAGTATAAAAATATGAAAAAAAATAAAATCGATATTAATATCAAATTAACGATTTAATAGTTCTCGGTTTTTTGGTGTAACTTCTTTAATTCAAATTTTTATTATAATTTAATTTAGATTTAATAACAAAGTAATTTATTTTTGGTTTAATAATATATTTTTTTTNCTCAAAAGGGGTATGACGCGATTTGGGTAATTGTTGATCGTTTGTCTAAATCTGCACATTTTCTACCGATAAGAGAGAAATACTCTTTAGAAAAGTTAGCGCAAATATACATCAAAGAAATTGTTACCAGACACGGTGTTCCTTTGTCTATAATTTCTAATAGAGATAGTCGATTTACTTCCAAGTTCTGGGAAGGACTACAGAAAGCTTTGGGATCTGAAATTCGATTAAGTACAGCTTATCATCCGCAGACTGATGGGCAGAGTGAAAGAACTATTCAGACTCTCGAAGATATGTTGAGAAGCTGTATCATTGATTTCGGGGATCATGGGATGATCATTTGCCATTAATAGAGTTTGCGTATAATAATAGTTATCACTCTAGCATTCAAGCGACACCATATGATGTGTTGTATGGACGTAAATGCCGAACGCCGTTGTGTTGGAATGAAGTGGGTGAAAAACAATTAACGGGTCCTGAAATTGTTCAAGAAACTTCTGAAAAGATTGAACAGATCCGCGAAAGAATCAAAACAGCACAGGATCGCCAGAAAAGTTATGCAAATAATCGTCGAAAGCCGATTGAGTTTGATATAGGTGATTTTGTGATGTTAAAAGTTTCGCCATGGAAGGGTGTTGTCAGATTTGGGAAGAAAGGAAAGATCAGTCCGAGGTATGTAAGGCCATTCAGAATATGTAAACGAATTGGGCCAGTAGCATATCAATTAGAGCTACCAGAAGAGTTGAATCTGATTCACAACACTTTTCATGTGTCGAATCTGCGGAAATGTTTGGGCTATCCGAGTTTAGCTATACCGATGCCAGAGATTCAATTAGATAGTAAATTGAATTTTGTGGAAACACCGGAAGCTGTTGTTGACAGAAAGATCAGAGTACTTAGAAACAAAGAGATAAGTCTGGTTAAAGTACAGTGGAAGTTTCACAAAGGACCAGAGGCGACCTGGGAGTTGGAGTCAAAGATGAGATCAGAATACCCGTGGCTTTTTGGTTAAAGGAATTCCGGGACAGAATTCTTTTGAGGGGTGGATAATGTGATAACCAAATCCTGGTTATTACCCAAGTAATTTATACGTGAATATTTGACTAAATGATTTTCGTGATAGCATGATAATTTGCTACGTGCGGGTATGTATATTTATGCATTATTTGAATATGAAAAAAAAAATATATATATATATATATGTGTGTGTGTGTGTGCATATATGGTATATGTGTATGGAATCTAATATATATATATATATATATATATTCATGTGGTTAGAATGTGTGCATGTGGTGTGCATACGTGTATGTATGCATGTGATTAAGTTAGTATGCATGAGGTGGCAAAATGGGGAGGAAGGSGGTTAGCCAACCTTCCCCATTTGGAAAGTATAAATAGRGGTGTAATCCCTTCATTTGCTTTTTCTTGCTACTTTGAGAGGGTTTCTAAAGAAGTGTTGTCCGGTTTATCAAGAGAAGGTGATTTCAAGTTGATTTCTAGCATTTTTGGTATCAAAAGCTTTCTAAGGTGAGTGGTTTTTAACCTTTTTGTATAAAGATTTTACTGGTTTCAATTGCATATCTCGTATTGTTCTTAATTGAAAAGAAAGCATGTTTATTTTATCTAAGTGTTTAAACCGGACAAGCCTTAGGCGGTTTAGTGTCCGGATTGTCTTAAACCGGACATGCCTTRAAAGGTTTAGTGACCGGAGTTGGTAAACCGGTTGAGTGGTGAGCGGTTTAGTCTTAAACCGGGCGAGTCTTGAAYGGACTGTTGACCGGATTTGTTATCCRCTCAATATGAATTTTATTCTAAGTATTAAACCGTTCAATGAAGGTGTGATGTGTTGTCCGGACTAGTATCTGGACAAAGTTGAATAAATTGGACAAGTATTTGAGATGTGTTGTCCGGATTAGTAAACCGGACAAAGGGAGACAGTGTTGTCCGGACTTCAAATCCGGATAACTTGTCCGGATAGTTTTATATTGAAAATTTTATAAGTTTTTTTTAATGTTTATTTATTTATGATTCATAAAATGATTATTTTATATCTTTTAAAATAAATGAAATGTTCCTACCAAGCGTGGTGACGTAAGTCTGTTTTGGTACGAAACTATATTTTGAGAAACCTTTCTACCAAGCGTGGTGACGTAAGTCTGTTTTGGTATGRAASWSWGTTTTAAATRGTAGTTCCCCCAGACGTGGTGACTTTTGTCTGTTCTGGCTTGGAACTGGGAATGAGTACTTTCAGACGTGGTGACTTATGTCTGTTMTGATAAGTAGCTCTRTTTTAATGGAGAAATAAGGGTGRCATATCAAGGAGAGGTGTACTTGGAATAAGGGTGGCATTGTCATATGTGAATATTATTATAACTCTTATTATTATTASTAGATTGGATTTAATAACTTTGAGTCATCATTTCTTTGTGACCTGATRAATTAAAGATATTATTCCTATTTAGAAGTAATAATTTAGATGTTATTGAGAAGGRGAAATGATTTGTCATATCAGACAKGTTTTGCCTTAAATCTTTCATGTTAAAGGAATGGTCTTTTAAATCAAAAAGTTTTGATACTGGGAATATTAGATCTCTGTTTAGAGATATTTTAAAGAAGTGAGGTTTTTGGATATACTTCTTTATGCATGATATTATGAACTGCGTCAATTGTTATATTGCAGTATCTTTCTAAGCCAAARTTACATTATCATATTTTGGTGTTTGTCACCCT